GCGCGAAGGAGTAGGCCGGTTGGTTCCGCGACTTGCGCGCCTCCCGGCTCGACGTGTCGCGGCGCTGGCGCTCGAGGAACTGGGCGAAGTCGATGCTCTTCGACGCCGAGGGCGCGAGCCGCGTCTTGCTCGTCTTCTTCTTGGTCTGGGGCGTCTTGGACGGCGGCTCCTCGGCCTTGGCGGGCGTCGCCTCGCGCCGCGGCGCCGGCGGCACCTGGGCAGCAAAAGGGTGCGAAATTCCCAACTTCAGAGGCTCCTATCTCGGTCGTTTTCCGCTCGTTTCGGCTGATTTTTGGACGAGCGATCATCTCTCGGAGCGCTCTCGAAGCGTGGGTGCTTTTTCCGAAACGCGCGCGCGCGGAACACTCACGTTGAAGCGACGTTGAATCACCCTTTTGCTGCCCTGGGCGGCGCGTGCGTCAACCGCTCGACGACGTCGACGGACGTCCACGCGACCGCGGAGCGCATGTGGGGCCGCACCTTCTGGATCTCCGGCTGGAACGTGCACTGCTCGAGCTCGTGGCCGTAGACGACCTATGTGGAAAGACGGTTTCGCGAGAGAAGTGAACACGCGCCGGAAAACGGACCGGCGACGTCCGCTCGTTCTTCGGGTGCTTGCCGCGCGACGACTTCGTGGGCGACAGCGTGCTGCTCCGGCGGCGCGACGCGGACCGCGGTTTCTCCGCGGGCGGCGGCGGCGGCGGCGGCGGCGAGAGGTAGTCCGCTTCTTCCTCTACTTCTTCGGGGAACGCGTCGTCGCGCCGCGGCGGCGCGCGCGGGTCGAGGCTCCGCCGCCGGCCGTCCATGAAGTCCTCGCTCCGCCGCCGGCCGTCCATGAAGTCCGCCGGCGGCGCCGCGCCGGCGCGCTCCTCCTCCGTGCTCTCGCCGCCGTCGCTCCAGTCCGCGTGGAGCACCTTCTCCGCTGCGATGGAGCGCTTCGTCGGGCTCTCGCCGAGCGACGCGGCCCAGGACCGGTCGAGCGCGTCGGGCTCGGAGCGCTGCTTCAGGCGCCCCCGGAGGCGCGCGAGGTCGCGCTTCGCCGCCGACGACTGGGACGGCGACGACAGCGAGCTGTCGGGATCGCTCGAGCCGCCGAGCGCGTCGGTCGTCGCCGGCGGGCTCCGCGCGCGCCACGCGGCCTCGCGCCGGTCGCCGACGTCGAGGAGCGGCGGCGCGTTGTTGTCGTCGTCGTCGAGCTCCACGGGCGCGTTGGGCCGGTCGAGCTCGCCCATGTCGCCGCAGAAGAGCATCTTCGCCTGCGACGCGGCGTAGTCGTAGAGCGGCGACGTGTCGCCGCCGTTGTCGTCGTCGGTCATGGCTTTTTAATGGTGTTTGAGCGCGCTGCTGGCGATGTTTTCTTAGTGTGCGGCAACGATGCGCGATGATTGGAAACTGTCGCGGCGCATCGTGAAGCAAGCGCGCTTTTTGCTGCTCTTCAACGAAGCCAGCTTGCACCGACGCATTGCCGCGTCGATCGCCTCCGGACTTCTCCGGACTTGCATCCGGACTAAACTGGAAGCTCGGCGTTACCACCCAATCCAACGACCGGCGGGGGAGTTACTCAAGCGGAGCCGCCTTTACACCGCCCCTCGGCGACGTCGACGCGGGCCGCCTTGGCCGGCCGGGCGTAGTAGTGGCCGAGCACGTACACCCTCGACTCGATGCAGAGCTGGACGGGCCGGAGCTTCGCCGTCGGCGGCAGCGCGTACAATAATTCGCTCGTGAGCTGGACGGGCCGGAGCGTCGCCGGCGGCAGCGCGTCCAAGAAGTCGAGCGCGGCCTCGCACTCGGCGTCGGCCGTGGACCCGACGCGGCCCCACAGAATCCCGCGCGCTTCGGCCGCCCGGCCGTTGCGGATGGCATCGACTATCTTGTGGCGCGCAGCGCACAGGCGTAGGGTGCGCTGAAACGGAGCGTAGTCCTCGGGGAGGAGGACGTATTCGCCGGTTTTCTCGGCCAACCGCATTCGATCTCCCCAATTCCATGACCGCGCGCGCGCCACGGCGCGGTCCACGAAGCTCCCCGGGAACTGTTGCAGGATGCTGATTTGCTCGCTCGGCGGCTGCTCTTCGAACATGATCGTCTCCGCGGGCTCGGGCGCCGCGGCCTCCTCTGCGGGCGCGGGCAGCAGGCAAGGCGAAAAGTCGTCCGCGCGCGGCGCCTCCGGCGGCTGGTCGACGGCCGGCGCCGGCGCCTTCGTCGCGTCGGCGAGCGACGGCCGGCCGCGCGCCTCGAGCACGTCCGCGCGCGGCTTCTTCGGCACGGGCTGCTGTGAGCCCGGCGCGGCCCGGCTCCGGCGCTTCCGCGACGTCATGAGCTTGTTGTACGACGCGGCGGCTGGCGGCGAAGCGCTCATGGGGCGCGGCGCGGAGTTGCGCGGACGCGACGCTTCGACGAGCTGCTTGGACGGTCAGCATACGCTGCCGTGGCCAAGCCGGCGGCCGTGAAGCGCCGGTCGCCAGACGCGGCGCGGAGGGCCAGCGCCAACGGGATCACGGCGGCGAACCGGCGCGTTCCCGAGCGATCCCGAGCGATGCCCTGCGACCAGTGTAACTGCTCCTCGTGACTGGCGGCGAAATGAACTTATTTTTGGTGTTGCGTTGGGCATATTATGATTCACATCGGACGCAGTAGCGGTCATGACAAAAAATTGCTCTCCGCTCGATCGAGTTTGGGGTCGGTGGTTCGCAGCGAGTCCGATGCGATTCACTTCGATGGTCCCCGATCCGTTGAGCAATTTTGTTGACTGTATGTTAACGTTAACGACACCGTGGCCGAGTGGTTAAGGCGATGGCCTGCTAAGCCATTACTCTCTGGGTGCGCGAGTTCGAATCTCGTCGGTGTCGTTTTTTTGTTTTTTGGGGGCGTGGTATGTTTTGGTCGCGCGGGAATCAGTTACACGTGCGCGGTCGTCTTTTTTGCCAGTTCGCGCGGCTCAGGGAGGAATCGAAGGCAGCGAGAACATTTCTGCCACAATTTTCGCCGAGCACCAAAAACGAAAGAACCCAACGCGTCTCAACAAAGGCACACTTACCCCCGTCCCCTCCCCAGCTCCGCCGCGCGCCTCCGCGCCGCGCGGACCTTCGACGCGAGCGCGGGATCGTCCCCGCCCACCAAACGCGCCAACTCCTGTCGCTTTTCGTTGCGATGCGCCACGCCGCGGTTCGCAAGAACAACAAATGGAAAGCGAATCAAAGGCACCGAAGCCACCACCACGGCGTAGACCAGAAGGAACGACGCCAACCCCTCCGGAAAGCGAAACGGCAGCGCCGCGTTCAGAAAAGGCAGCGACGATTTCAGCCAATACAACCCGACCACGTCGCCCACGACCAGCGCGGCACACAGCCCGGCCCTCGTCCCCGCGAACGGCCGCTCCGCCTCCACCAGAGCCTCGCCGACGTCCGCGTCGGGAAACGCGTCCGTCAAATCGACGAACTCCAGCACGATGGCCCCGTCGCTCGAGCACGGCCGCCCGCCGAAGTGCGCCGACGCCGCGCAGGCCGCGCGCGCGCAATCTGATAAATCCCGGGGCGGCTCGGGGAGATGCGGCGCGAGCTCCTCCGGCGCGACGACGCCGCCTTTCGCCGCGACGGCCGCCGCCACCGAACGCCACTGCGTCGCCGTCTCGCTCTCGAGCTCCGGGCCGAAGAAGAACGCGTGCAGGCTCGACAGCAGGTCGTCCTCCCTCGAAACGACCTCCTCGTCCCCTCCCTCCAACAGCGCCTCCGCGTCCTCGTCCACGACCGCCGCCACCGGCGCGTGCGCGGCGGCGGCCTCGTCGACGGGCACGGCGACGGCGACGCCGTCGCGCATGACCGCGCGCGTGCGCCGCCGCGGCCGGCCGTCGTAGAACGCGCCGCGCCGCCGCGCGTACCGCAACCCCCCGAAGCCGTAGCCGAAGCCCGGGTACATGCCGTAGTAGCCCCAGGGCCCGAAGCCGTACATGGGCACGGGCCGGAAGAAGGGGTTCTCGCCGCCGCAGCACCAGTAGATCGACGTGAACAGGTTCCAGGTCCGCACCATCTCGTGCACGCTCTGCAGCCCGCCCCGTAAGCCCGGCCCGCGCTGGTTCCGGTGGCCGCCCGCCCGCGACGCGGCGACCATCAGGGCCAGCGCCGCGGCGAGCGCGACGGCCGCGACGACGGCGAGCGACGCGACGACGAAGCCGCCGACGACCACGCGGAGCGCGCGGCCGCCGTACCGCGAGCAGAGCTCCGCGGCGACGGAGCGGCGCCGCGTCGCGCGGAGCCGCGCGCGCGCGTCGCGCGGGAACGAGTAGAGCACGCGGCCGTCCTCGCCGCTGATCTCGAAGGTGCCGCGCACGTCGACCATCAGGCGGCTCAGGGCCTCCTCGCTGTCCTCGACGGTCCAGCCCGTGTGCAGCGACACCTCGAGCGCCGTCGCCCGGTGCCGCTGGCGCTCGAGCAGCGCGACGACCTCCATTCCGCGGGCGCGTGGGTTGCGGGTTGGCGTCGCAACTGGCGTCGCGCGCGCGAGATGCTCCCTGGAGGCCGAGCGAGCAGTGCACTTGAACAGGCAACAACCCCGGGAGCGGAAAGCTGGCCACCATGGAGAAGCTGCCCATCTCGCTGGTGCTGTCCTGCGGCGACGTCGTCATCCGAATAAAGCTGCCGCACGGCGACAAGAAGCTCGGCGCCGTGGCCAAGGCCTTCGCCAAGAGCTACGAGGCCAAGCACAAGGTCGCCCTTCCCTTGGAGGCCATCCGCTTCCGGCGCAGGAGCCGGTTCATCACGGCGTCGCTCCAGGCGCGCGTCGGCGACGTCTTCGAGGACGGCGACAACGTGACGGTGAGCGTCGGAGACGACAAGCCGTCTCCCGCGCCGCGAGCGGCTCCGGTGAGCGTCGGAGACGACGCCGCCCCGACGACGACCGACGCGCCGTCTCCCGCGCCGCGAGCGGCCCCGAAGGCGCCGCCGCCGAAGGCGCCGCCGAAGGCGCCGCCGCCGCCGCCGAGGGAAGCCTACAACGACGCGCTCCGCATGAAGGACCAGGCCAACGAGCGGTTCCGCGTCAAGGACGTGTCCGGCGCGCTGGGGCTCTACTCGAAGGCTCTGGACACGTTGGGCCCTCCCGCGACCGACGACGAAAAACAACTCGGCGCGACGCTCCTGAACAACCGCGCGGCCTGCCATCTGAAGCAGGACCGCTTCGCCGACGCCCAGGGCGACTGCGACGCCTCCCTGGCGCTGAGGCCGTCGAGCAAGGCGTTCCTGCGCCGCGCGACGGCCCGCCTGAAGAAGGACCCGGCGAACCTCCGGGGCTACCGCGTCGACGTCGTCGCGGCGCTGGACGCCGCCGGGGCCGACGCGCCCGCCGTGCGGCGCGACGTCGTCGCCGCGGCCGCCGTCGCCGAGGGCTTCGCGGCGCTCGTCCACGACGACGCGCTCGCGGCGCTCGACGACGCGACCGAGGTCCTCGAGGACGCGCGCGCGCGGAGCCTCGCCGAGGCCCGGGAGCGCTTCTTCGCCCTGGCCGCGGGCAACCTCGCGCCGGAGTCCGCCGTCGACGACGGCGCCGCGGCGCGCCTCGCGGACGCCGCGAAGGCGCTCGACGAGGCCGCGTTCGACGTCGCCGTGCCCGGGGACGCGACGCTCTGCCGCGCGACGCGCCTGCTGCTCCGCTGCCGCTGCCTCGCGGCCCTCGGGGAGCTGCATTTTCGCGCGAAGCGCTTCGGCGCCGCCGGGGCCGTCTTTCGCGCGCTGCACGCGGGCTGCGAGGCGTTGGCGGCCCCGGCCGTGATCCTCGACCGGCGGCTCGCGCCGCCGGAGGCGTCCCCCGCGGACGCCGCGAAGCCCCTGGCGCGCATGGCGCGCCTCGGCACGGGCGCGGCGCTCATGGCGCGGTCGGCGGCCGACGACGTCAAGGCCGCCGTCGACGTCGCGGCCTGGCTCCGCAAGGCCGTCGAGGCCGCGGCGCCGGCCGCGCCGCCCGCCGTCCGTGTCGACCCCGTCGCCGCGCCGGACGTCGCCGTCGTGCTCTGCCACGGCTGGGGCACGGCCGCGGCGGATCTCGACGACGCGCGCGCGTTACTCGCGACGGAGCTGCGCAATCTCGGCCTCGCGGCGTTGGTCGTCGCGCCCGACGCGCCCCTCGACGCCGCGGCCTTCGTGCCGGGCCAGAAGGGGCGGACGTGGTTCGACCCGCTCCTCCGCGTGCGCCGCGACCGCGCGGCGGACCCCTTCGCCCACGGCACGCCCTGCGACGGCGTCGCGCACCTCGCGGCGGTGCTGCAGACCTTCGACGTGCCGCCGGCGCGCGTCTTCCTCGGCGGCTTCTCCATGGGCGGCACGGGCCAGGGCAGGAAAAGAGAGCGAAATTCCCAACTTCAAAGGCTCCGATCTCGGCCATTTTCCACTCGTTTCGGCTGATTTTTGGACGAGCGATCATCTCTCGGAACGGTCTCGAAGCGTGGATGTGTTTTCCGTAACGCGCGCGCGCGGAACACTCACGTTGAAGCGACGTTGAATCACTCTTGTGCTGCCCAGGCGCGGCCGCGGCGCTCGCGGCGCTCGGCGCGGCGGCGCCGGGCGCGCCCTACGGCGGCGTCTTCCTGCTGGGCTCGGCCCTCGACGACGACGCGCTGGCCCTCGCCGTGGCCTTTGGCGCCCTCGAGGCGCCGCCCTTCCTCTTCGCGCACGGCGCGGACGACCGGCGCTGCCCTCCCGAGACCGTCGCCGCGTCCGCGGCCAGGGTCGAGGCGCGGCTCGGCGCCGCCGTGACGCGCACGGAGCACGCGGGCCTCGCGCACCACATCTCCCCGGCCATGCTCGCGGGGGTCGCGGCCTTCGTCAAGGCGTGCCTCGAGTAATGTTTTAACGACGGACGACGATACCGCGCGGCGCGGGGCGGGCTCGCGCGAGCGAGCCCCCCCGCGCGCCGCTCCCGCTATTCGGGCGGCGGGCCGCAGGGCTGGAGCATCTTCTCGAGCAGCGCGTAGCGCGTGCGGCCGATGGAGTCGCCCTGCGCGACCGCGAAATACGTCATGATGTCGCCGTGGCCGAGGTGGCTCGCGATGGAGTCGCGGTGCTGGTTGCTCGCCCACTCGAACTTGGTCATGTCGCTGTGGCCCGTGCCCACGTACTTGGCCTGGATGTGGTCCCAGGACCGGTTGATGTTCATGCGGTCCGCCGCCATGGTTTTGGCTGGCGGCGCGCGGCGCTTTCGGCGAGCGGGGCGCGGCCGGTGTTGGCGCGCGCGGCGCGGCGGCGGCCGACCGACGGACGCGCTGCGGCGAACCGGGCGCACGGGGGGGGCGCGGCTCCCGACGGCAGGGGTACGCGACGAGGGTCGGCGCCTGCAGCGAGCCCTGACAGACTCTCTCTGATCCAATAGCCCGGCCAAGCGGCTCAAGGTCAGCTCGGAGCAGCCAGTTGCCGCAATGGTGCTGCAAAGCTGCCCGGGCAGCGCTGCCGAGACGATGGTTTGAGTTCGGAGCACCGCAACAAACAAGATGCTCGCGCCGCACCGGCGCGTGATCGCGCCGATCCCGGAGCAGCCGCCGCCGCCCGTGCCCTACCCGAATGACGTCGCCCAGGGCCCGGCGCCGGCCGAGTCCGACAGCGTGCACACGCTGCCGCTGCCCGAGCCCGCGGACAAGGAGGAGGACGAGACGACGGTGACCTTCTCCAAGGAGCGCATGGCCATGGAGCCCCTGCGGAACTACGTCAAGGACTACGCCGTCTTCGGCAGGCAGAAGCGTATGGAGTACTACCTGCGCAACGTGAAACCGCACCCCGACACGCCGACGGAGGCCGGCACGACGCTCCTCCACGAGGCGCTGGTCCACGGCCACGACGACGTCGCGCGCCTGCTCCTCAGCCACGGCGCCGACCCGGACTGCGGCCACTACCGCACGGGCGTCACGCCGCTCCACGACTGCGCGCGCGAGAATTTGGCGTCGGGCATCCGGATCCTCCTCACGGCCGACGCGGAGATCGACCCGGCGACGAAGAACGGCACGACGCCCCTCATGCGCGCGGCCGTCGGCGGGCACTGCGACGTGATCCGCCTCCTGCTGCGCGAGGGCGCGGACCTCGCGCTCGTCGACGCCGCGGGCGACGACGCCGAGGTCGTCGCGAGAAGGTACGGCAAGACCGAGGCGGCGGACATCATCGCGGAGCGGCGGCGGCTGCTCAAGGCGGGGAAGGAGGCGCGCATCCGCGAGGCCGTCGAGCGCGCGCGCGCGGCCGTCGCCGAGGCGAAGCGCGTCGACGCCGAGGCCGCGGCGGCGGCCGCGGCCGAGGCGCAGCGCGTCCTCGACTTCCGCGCGAAGCGCGCCGCCGAGGCCGAGGAGAAGCGCGCGGCCAAGGCCGCGCGCGACAAGAAAAAGGCCGAGCAGGACGCGATCAAGGCCCGGATGCAGGCCGCGCGCCAGGGCGGGCCCCGCGGATTTAAGTAGGGCGCGCGCGCTCACGCGGCGCCCCGCGACAGCAGCAGGACGGCCCGCGCGAAGGCCGCGGGGTGGTCGACCATGGACTGGTGGGCGCACCGCTCGATGCGGTGCATGGCGCCGCCCGTGGGGCCGTTGACGCACGCGGCGCCGCGCGCGGCGTCGACGACGACGCGGCAGTCGATCCAGTCCTCGCAGCCGAAGAAGAAGGAGCAGCGGAAGCCGTCGTTCGCCGCGTCGCGCGCGCGCAAAAAGGCCTGGAGCCGCCCGGACGACGGCCTCCCGCCGAAGGGCGGCTTCGGGAGCGCGCCGTCGACGAAGGGGATCTCGACGGCGTCGCCGCCGAGCGGCTCGCGCGCCCAGAACGTGCCGTAGGAGTAGCCGATCACGCACTTTTCGTAAAAGTACTCGCCGAACGACTCGTAGGCGCAGTGCGTCGCGAAGGCGTCGACGTAGTCCGCGAACCTGGGCTTGAGGCCGCCGGCCCACTGGCCGTTCCGCTTGAACTTCGCCATGCCCACGGTATTCGCCGCGAGGCGCCGCAGGCAGCCGCACCGCAACTGGCCGACGACGTTCGTCAGCGGCGCGGACACGTCCGCCGCGCGCTTCCGGGAGCACGCGTTCCCGACGAGCGCGCAGGGGCCGAGCGCGCAGCACGCGAGGACCCGGAACAACGCGCGGACCTTCGAACTTCCCGAGCCGTCGAAGGCCGTCCGCGCGCGCCGCCCCTCCTCGAGGTCGCGCTGCTTCCGCGCGAGCCAGGCGGCCTCGGACACGGGCGGCTCGCGCCAGGCCGGGTAGGTCGGCACGCCCAGCGGCGACGCGAGCACGAGGTGCCGCGCGACACTCGCGCCGTAGCGCTCGCAGTAGCAGAACGCCAGGTAGCCGCCGAGCGAGTGGCCCAGCAGCGTGACGCGCTCGAAGCCGCGCCGCGCGCGCCAGGCCTCGAGGCGCTCGACGGCGTAGTCGACGAGCTCCTTCAGCGAGAGGTTCCGCCGGTCGAAGCGCGACGCGAGGCCCGTGCCGGGCCAATCGAGCGCGACGGCCCGGCCGAAGGTGGCGCCGGCGCCCTGGGCCTGGAGGTCGCGGAGCACCATTGTGAACGCGCCGGCGCCGAGGCCGTAGCCGGGCAGCATGACCAGCGTGTCGTCGCGGTCCTCCGACAGCGTGAGTTCGAGGCAGTGGAGCCATTCATCGTCGGAAATGGGATCGTCGCGGGCCTCGGCGATGCCTGCGACGAGCCGCCGCTCGGCCTTGCGCAGCGCGCGCGCCGATCTCCGCTGGGGCAGCGTCCCCGATGCGTCGCGCACAGCCATGTAGCAATACCTGAGCTAGCTTGCTCCGAAGAGAGCTCCATAATCGCGCTCCATGCAGCCTTCCTCAACGAGGTAACGTTGACGACGCGAATCGACGTTTCGCTCGCGAAAAAGAGCTCAAAGCTGCCCCAATCGATCTGTTGCGACGCGCCGGCCTTTTCCGCCGCCAGCGCCATGCCCAAGGAGAGCAGGCCGATCGTGCCGGAGATCGTCTACGCCGCCGAGCCCGTCGTCGACAAGGACGACCAGATCCGGTCCCTCCAGGACGAGGTGCAGCGCCTGAACCGGGAGCTGACGAACGCGCGCAAGGCCTTCGAGCTCCAGGCCATGCACTTCGCGCTGCCCAAGGACGACCACCGGCGCAAGAGCATCATCACCCTCGACAAGCCGGACCACGAGGCGGACCTCATCCCCAAGGTCGCCGCGCTCGAGGAGGAGAACGCGAAGTTGAAGCGGCAGCTCGAGAACGCGCGCAAGGGCTTCGAGCTCCAGGCGCTCCACTACGCGCTCCCCGCCGAGGACAAGCGACGAGCGTCCATCGTCAAGCTCGACAAGGACCAGCTCAAGGTGCTCCGCGTCGAGGAAGACGTCGACGGCACGGACGCGCTCTTCAACTGCCTCGCCGCGAGCGCCGCGTCGCGCGACATCGACACGCCCGAGGCCGCCTACGACACCATGTGCGCGCCGGTCGTCGAGGACTCGTCCTACACGATGTGCGGCACCATCAACGCGAAGTGAGCAGGAGGAGTCCCGGCCTTTTTTTTCTAGGCTAGTAAAGACCGCTGCACCCGAAGATGGGCGCCTCGTCCAGGGGCTCGACGACGACGGGCTCCGCCGCGAGGTCCCGCGACGGCCGGCGGCCCTTGGGCGGGCTCAGGCGCCGGATCACGCGCGCCATCGCCGCGTCCTCGGCCCGGGCCGCGGCGAGGTCGCGCCGCAGCCGCGCGACCTCCGCCCTCAGCGCGCCGACGTCCTCGTCGGCGGTCGCGCGCGCCGGCGGCGGCGCGGGGAGCAGCCGCCGCAGCACGATCGGCGACACGAGCGTGGCGACGAGGAGCGCCCAGACCGTGATCGAGAACGCGAGGCTGCTCGTCTCGCCCCGCTTGAACGTCTCCGTGGCCATGACGAAACCGAGCTCGCCGCGGCCGACCATGGCCCAGCCGACCTCGTAGCGCCGCTCCCAGTCGAAGACGCCCGTGACGACCTTGGACCCGACGGCGAGAAACGCGAGGAGCGCGCCGTAGAGGAGCGCGGGACCCGAGAAGAGGCGCCCGACGGGCACGACGAAGCCGATGGACGCGAAGAAGCAGCGGCTCGTCCAGGCGGACACGGGCCCGACGCGGTCGTCGAAGGTCTCGGCCGCCGCGCCGCCGTCGACGGCGGCGAGGGACACGCCGGCCATGAACGCGCCCAGCAGGTGCGTCGACCTGGCGACATGCGCGGCCGCGCTCAGCGCGACGCAGAGGCCCAGCGCGAGGGCGAGGAGGCCGTCGCGCCAGGCCGCGTCGGTGAACCGTCGCCTTCGCCGGAGCGCGCCGAGCCACTCGGGCGTCTTGTACGCCAGGGCCGCGGTCGCGACGATGAACGCCGCCGAGCTCAGCAGCGGCAACAAGAGCGCGAAGGCGCCGTCGCCCAGGCCCTCGGAGACCATGGCGAGCAGGCACAGCGACAGCACGTCGTCGAACATGGCCGCCGTCACCACGACCTGCCCCAGCTCCGCGTCCAGCACGCCGAGGTCGCCCATGAGCTGCGCGGCCATGCCGATGGCCGTCGACGACAGCGCCGTGCCGCACAGCAACCCCTCGCGCGACCGGAAGGCCGGCAGCAGCGCCAGGGCCGCCCAGGCCGTCGCGAGCGGCAGCACGGTCCCGGACAGCGCGACGGCGAACGCGACTTTCCCGACGCGCCGCAGCGTCGCGAGCTCGACGTGGAGGCCGCCCTCGAGCACGAGCAGCGCGAGGCCGACGGCGCCGATGAGCGCGAACGCCTCGTCGTGGGGGACGGCGTCCAGGCCCTTCGGGCCCAGCACCATGCCGGCGACGACCTCGCCGACGAGCGCCGGCGCCGACAGCCGGCGCGCGACGGCGCCGAAGAGCCAGGTCGTGAACACGAAGAGGACGACGGCGAGCGCCCGCAGGAAGGCGTCGGCCATCGATGCGGGCGGTCGTCGACGATCTACGATGCGCGCACGCGCCCGTAGTAGCAACTAAGGCTGCCCACGGTCCATCACTCGCGGCAATGGGTAAACGCGAGTGCAACAGATGTGCATCATTGACCTTTTGGCTTGTCCACACAATGGCGCATCGAGCAAGCCCATGACGGAGCCCTCCTCCTCCTTCACGAAGCTTGTCCGGCGCGACGTGGGCAGCTCGCTCATCTTCCTCGCAAGCCCATGACGGAGCCCTCTTCCTCCTTCACGAAGCTCGTCCGGCGCGACGTGGGCAGCTCGCTCATCTTCCTCGCCGAGGGCTACGCGGCGCACGAGCGCGACGCCTTCCTCGGCGACGTGCGGCGATTATATGATGAGGTGCTGGGCTCGCCCGACGCGCCGCTGCGCCACGTGAGCGCCTTCTTCTCCGTCGACGCCATCTTCGTGCCGTCGGCGACGAGCGGCGTGCCGCGACTAGCGACGCGCGGCGCGAAGCGCGGCGGCACGGCCTTTGGCCTCTACCGGGACGCGGCGCAACCGCTGCGCCTCGTCGAGCCGAGCCGCTGGTCCTACGACGAGGCGCGGGAGCGCTGCGGCGCGCTGCACGAGCGGCCGGCCCTCTGCGACCGCGGGAGCGCCGCGACGCTCGTGCTGCTGGCCAACGACCCCTACTACGGCGGCCTCGGCGACGACGTCATCATCGCGACGGCGTCGAAGACGTCGGGCGCGCTCGCGCTGCGCCACGAGCTCGGCCACGTGCTCGGCGACGTCGGCGAGGAGTACGACGGCGGCGCGGACTACAGCGGGCCCAACTTTTCGTTGAGCGCCGCGCCCTGCGGGCCCGGCGCGGCGCCGCGGACGTACGAGACGACCGTCGACGGGATCGCGGCCACCCGCACGATCTGGCCCTGCGCGCCCTGGCTCGAGCGCAACGCGTCCGTCGCGGGGCGCACGGCGCTGGCGCTCGCGGCCTGGCCCTTCGCGGCGCTGCGCGTCGGCGAGAACCGCACGTTCTCCTTCGCGAGCGACCTGGACTTCGCGAAGCTCGAGTTCTCCGTGTCCGGCGGCGTCGGCGTCGACGCCTACGTCGACGGCGTGAGGGCCGACGTCGCCTACAAGACGCCGCCGACCGCGGACCGGCGCTTCGCCGAGGCGCGCGTCGCGCTCGGCCGGCGGCGACGCCACGCCGTGACCCTGTCGGCGACGGAGACCGCGCGCGCGGCCGCCGCGGCGCCCTGGCACCCGGAGCAGATGGTCTGCCACGTCCAGGTCCACGCCATGGACGCGCGCGCGTTCCGCGCGCCGCCGCCGGCCGTCGGCGCCTTCGCGACGTACGACGACCGGGGGCGGCTCGTCGGGTACCGGCCGACGGTCGACGGCTGCTGCATGCGCGACGTCGCCAAGGCCTGCTTCTGCCCCGTCTGCCGCGATCTGCTGCTGCGCCGCGTCGTCGCCCGCGCCGGCGGCCTCTTCGGCCGCCGGGGCTCGGGCCTCGCGCCGACGGTGGCCGAGGGCGCGGCGACGCGCTGGTTCCGGCAGGACCTGCCCGGCGGCGCCTACGCCGAGGACGACCCGGCGGCCCGGCGGCCGGGCTGCTGGCGCGTCGTCGCGACGCTCGCGTCGCCGGCCGCGCGCGGGCCGCTCGACGTCTTCGAGTCGTCCGCGACCGTGGCGGTGGACGCGCCCTGGTGCGTCGAGGCGAGGCGCGACGGCTGGCGGCGATCGCCGGACGTCCCGCCGGCCGACCGCGCGCCCGCCGCGCCCGTCGCGCTCGCCGCCGGCGCGGCGCTCGCCGCCGCCGTCGTGCTGCGCCCCCTGCTCCGACGCAAGCGGCGGAAGGACCCGGAGACGCACATCGTGTAATGTGTTTTTGGAGTTGGCTTTCCGGTGATAGTTAGGGCGTGTGGGGGGAAAGGGGGATCCGCGCCGCGGCCGCGTCGACTTCCGGCGCCGCGGGGGTCTCGCGCGCGCCGCCTAGAGCGTGACGCCGATGGCCGCGGCCATGGCCTTGGTCGTCTCGGCGACGAGCTTGGACTCGTCGTCCTCGGCGCTCGCGACCTTGGAGTACTCGGCCTTGATCTTGTCGGCGTCGAGGTCCTCGAGCTTGATCGCCTCGAGCGCCGACACCTCCGTCTTCACGTCGTCCGTGAACGCGAAGCCGCCGGAGACGAAGTACTTCTCCGGCTCGTCGCCCGCCTGGGATGTTTCGCGTTCCGAGCGCGCGCGCGGCGGGCGAACCTCTCTCGCGGATGCGGTCGACCGGCGGCGGCCGCGCGCGTCCGAAATCCCCCGCCCCGCGGCGAAAGACGCCGCGGACGCGCGGCGTGGATGATGGAGACGACGCCCGGCTTGAGCTGCTCCGCGAGGGGCGAGTGGCCCGACGTGACGCCGTACTCGCCGGAGACGCCGGGCAGCGTCACGGAGTCGACGCCCTGCTCGAAATAAAAGACCGTGTGGGGCGAGCTGAAGCTCAGCTGGAGGCCCGCCGCGGCGTCGCTCAGGGGGCGCGCCGCCCGCCGCGCGAGGGGGGCGCCGACGCGGGCCGCGACCAATCTCGTCGAGAGCAACATGGCCATCGTCGCTGCAGTGGCTGAGCTCGAGCCGACACGCGACGAGCTCCCGCCAGGGTGCCATGGCCCGCCGCGCCGGCTGGCGCCGCGACGAACGCTGAGGTCCGCGCGAGGAACTCGTGCAGCCACAAGTCGCACATTCCCGATAGCATGCTCGTCTCGCACCACTTATCGCCGCGTCGGGCGTCGCGTCCGCGGAGACGGGCGCGCGCGTCGAGCCCTCGACGGCCGAGGCCGGCGCGTCGGGCGACGGCTCGAGCGCCGCCGGGAGCGGCGCGTCCGCGGGCGCCGAGCCGTCGACGGACTCGACCGCGCGCGGAGACGGCGCGACCGCCGAGTCCGCGGACGCGGGCTGTGCGAGCTCGTGGCGCTGTCGGGGACGTCGGCCCGAGGCGAGCCCTGTCGCCGAACGTGTAGATGGGGTCGTCCGGGTCCAGCAGGCCCATGCTGATCATGTCGGCTTGGAGTTCCTCCGCCATCTCGAGTCCCTGCCGGGGCACATCCGACCCCCGATGGCCGAGCGCGCTCTCGCGTGCCCGGCTGAATGACGCGGCGGCGGCCCTTAAGAGAGGCGAGCGCGTCCTTTTGCCATCTTTAGGTTTTAGTATGGTTCTACTTACCTTTTTCGATGGAGCACGCCTGCTTCGTGGCCCCCGGGCCGCAGGCTGGCACAAGTCCTCTACGCCTAGGAAGGCTGCCCATCTGTAATCACAAGCAATCTCGTAGCCTCTATCGGGCGCGCGCGCGCGTCCCGACGCAGGCTACGGTCTTCTGCAACACGCGACTCGTCGCCCGGCGCGCGGGCGCGGCGCGCGCGCGGAGCGTTGCCCTCTTTTTGACGACTGCAATAAAAGTTGATTCATGAACTCGTCTCGACTCCAGCGACCGTCTGCGACGCCGACGCCGAAGCGCGCGCCACCGTCGACAGCAATGGCCTCCTCCTCCGAGGCCCCCGACGGCTCGGCGAAGACGCCGTTCACGATCGTGACGGGATTCTTAGGGGCGGGCAAGACGACGCTCATCAACTACATCCTCACGGAGCAGCGCGCGCCCCCCGCGTCCTTTTTCAGATGCTCGCCGCAGAACGCGCGCGGCGCCGCACACAACGACGCGCCACCTCGTTAGGCGACAAGCGCATCTGCGTCATCGAGAACGAGTTCGGTGAGATCAACATCGACGAGAAGCTCGTGAGCGAGAACATGGCGTCGAAGGAGGACCTCATCCAGATGGACAACGGCTGCGCGTGCTGCTCCATCCGCGGCGACCTCGTGCGCACGCTCGGCGGCCTGGTCGAGAAGCGCACGCAGTTCGACGCCGTCATGCTCGAGACGACGGGCCTCGCGGACCCCGCGCCGATCATCGCGACGCTGAAGAGCAACCAGTGGATCGACGACAACTTCGTCATCGACTCGGTGCTGTGTCTGGCGTCGGCGAAGCACGTCCAGAGCCACCTCGACGAGGTGAAGCCCGAGGGCGCCGTGAACGAGGCCGTGCAGCAGATCGCTTTCTGCGACAAGGTGCTGCTCAACAAGGTCGATCTGGTCAACGACGAGGAGCTGGCGGCGATCACGGCGCGCGTCAAGACCATCAACCACTTCGCCGAGATCATCACGTGCGAGCGGTCGATCGTCGACCTGTCGAAGATCGTGGGCGTGTCGTCCTTCGACGTCGAGCGGTGCACGGAGCTCGACCCCGTGCTCTTCGGGGTCGAGGGCGCCGAGGGCCAGAAGAAGGTCCACGACCTGTCCATGGTCTCGTCCTGCGGCATCGCCGTGGAGGGCTTCCTCGACGTGCCCAAGTTCAACATGTTCATGGCCGAGCTGCTCCAGGCGCGCGCCGCGGACCTCTACCGCACGAAGGGCGTGCTGAGCTTCGCGGGGCAGGGCGCGCAGAAGTTCGTCTTCCAGGGCGTCCACGAGCAGATCGACTTCGGCCCGGCGAAGACGGAGTGGCAGAAGGACGAGCCCCGCTGGTCCAAGATCGTCTTCATCGGCCGCAACCTGGACCGCAAGTACCTCCAGGAGAAGGTCGAGTCGTGCCTCGTCCCGGGCGCGACGGAGTGACGACCGGCGCCCCGCTCCCCGCCCAACACTTGTTCCCTTCCCTAAGGTCTCTTAGAGACGTGCCGCCTCCGCGGCGCGCGACCGGGCGAGGCGCAGAAGCATGTGGTTTCTTTTAGACGAGCGGCCTCGTCTCCTCCGCGGACCTCGCGGTCTCGCGCGCTCGTCGAATCGCTTCCCGCTCCCGGGCCTGGACGTAGCGCGCGGGGAGCCGCTGGATCTTCACGTTCGCGCGATCCGCGGCGTCGACCAGGGCCGACACGGTCTCGAAGTAGCGGTCGTCGGGGAAGACGCAGATGGTCACCTGCGGCGGCGGTTTCGCCCGCTGGTTCGCGCCCTTGGGCAGGTGGAGGTGCGGCGGGCACCCCGCGTACCACCGAACCAGCCCCGCGATGCAGCCTCGCGCCGCGTCGGCGACGTCCTGGCCCTGGAGGCCCGTGCCGAGCATGGGCGCGGCGACGGAGCGGTGGCCCGCCTCCGCGGCGACGTCGAGGCATCGCGCGAGCTGCTCGGCGATGCACTCGTCGGCACGCTTGCCGTCCGCGTACTCCACCTCCGTGTGCAGGACGACCGTCGCCTTGAGATCGAAGCCCGGCGTGACGACGACGCGCCGCTCTGTGAAATCTTTGTCGTTCGTCCCGTCCTTTTCGAGCCGGGCCTTGTGGCTCGCCATGGCCTGTTCGAGCTGCGGCCCGGCGGCGCGGTGGACCGCGCCGAGCAGGCCGGGAGACTCCTCGTCGCCCGACAGGGACCCGTCGAGCAGGTAGCCCGACGTGACCAGCGCGTCGACCTCGAGGGACGTGATGTCGCGGAGCTCGATCGCGACGACGCGCTCGGGCCGCTGCGGCGCGAACCACACGCCCCCCTGCCATACCGCCGAGACCCAGCCGGCGCGCGGGGCCCAGTCGCGGTCGGGCGATTTGACGGCGTCGAAGCGCAGCCGCATGGCGTCGGCGGCGCTCGCGCCCTCGGCGTAGGTCCGCTCGACGACGCGGATCTGCTCGCCCGCTTTGATCGGCGGAAGCGCGGGATCGGTCGAAGCGGGATCGGCGGACTGCGCCACGAGCGCGTCGGCCGTCGCCAGGCCCACGTCGTCGTCGTCGGCGACGGCCGCGGTCGGCGCTTCGACGCGCGGCTTTGCCTCGCCCGGTCCGTCCCCCCGCCGCTTCGACCGGTCGTAGGGTCGCCAGTCGTAGTCGCCGCGGACGAACTCGTAGATGACGTGTCGATGCTTGAGAACCTCGTGGAACGACGCGAGGTGGAGCTGCACCTCGACGACCAGCGGCGGCCGCGACGCGCCGGCCCGGTAGCCGCCGAGGCCCGAGATCCAGACCTTGACGTCGCGGTACTCGACGTCGCCGCCTTGCGGCCGGAACGTGTTCTTCACGCGGAGCGCCTTCCCGCCGCCGTCGCCGGCCAGCAGCCGGACGAAGACGCGCCGCAGCGCGGCCGCGTCGCGGCAGACCACGGAGCACGCGAGCCAGTCGAGGACCCAGCACGACGCGGTCCGCGCCAAATCCGCGTCGCAGTCGCCGAGCTCGTCCAACACCTCGCGCGTCTTCGCGAGGAGCCGCGGCAGCTTCTTCACGGACGTCCGGCGCTTGAATTCCGCGCCCTCCGATTCCGCGACCCGCTCCACGCCCGCGAGCGTGGACGCGACGTCCGACCCGTAGAGCCCTCTTCGGTGGAGCGCGTCGCAGCGGAGGAAGCGCGCCCCCTGGTCGCCGAGCTGCTTCGGCGGGTGCCGGTCCGCGACCTGGCGCCGGAAGTCGTACGCGCCGGCGACGGCGCCGACGGCGCGGAGCGCGTCGAAGGCGCCGCGGACGTCGCGCGCCGCGACCCACGCCGGCGCCGGGTCGCGGACGTTGCTCTCGTAGTCGACGTCGCAGCGCAGCCGCCGCCACCGCTCCACGGGCACGAGCAGCGCGCTCTCCGCCGCGCCGAGCCACGCGCCGTCGTCGCCGCCGCCGGCGACGTCCGCGGCGTAGGCCGCGTCCAGCGCCGCGACGAGCGCCGCCCGCTTCCCCGCGAGGAGCGTCTCGCACGCCGCGCGGTAGGGCTCCCGCGCGTCCTCCAGGGCCCGCGGCCCCCGCGTCGCCCGCAGGAGCGCGCGCGCGAGCGCGTCGGCGTCGTCGCCGCGATCGCCCGCGAGGAGGCCCTCGAGCGCGGCCCAGACGGCGGCGAGCCGCTCGGCGCTCGTCGCCGTGTGCGCGACGTCGACGTCGCCGAAGCAGTGGTAGTCCACGAGCACGGACCAGACGGGCAGCGCGGCGCGCGCGCAGACCCAGGCGTAGGTCTTGTCCTCGAAGGCGTACTCGCCCGCGAGGAGCGACGAGCCGACGACGCGCCAGTGGCCCGCGCCTCCCGCGTGGCCCGCGGAGTTCTCGTAGGAAAAGGTCACGCGGTCGCCGTCCCGTGTCACGTCGCTGAGCGTGCCCTCGAGCACGGGGCCGCCGAAGTAGCGGCCGGCGCCGCCGTCGAGGACCATGTCGCACTCGTCGTGGCGGCCGTCCAACGCGACGCAGCGCCAGAGGCCGTCGAGCGAGCCCCCGGCGGGGGTCGCCGCCGCGTCGTCGCCGGGAGGCGCGAGCCAGGCGACGATGTTGTGGTCGCTGAGCTTCGACCGCAGGCGCGCCGTCTGGCCCGCGAGGTCCGACGACGCGAGCGCGTCGCGGACGCGCTCCCACGACGGCATCGCCGCGTCGAGCGCGTCGAGCGCGAGGCGCACGGGCGACCCCGGCGGCGCGCCGAGGCGCCGCAGGCGGTGGCAGGGGAGGACGCCGTTGGCATCTGGTGTCAGGAGCGCCATCGCCGCGTCGCCGCGGGTATGGGACGACTCGAGGAGCGCGAGGAGCGTCGCGTCCGTGGGCCGCGGCGGCGGCGCGGCGGCCAGCAGGCGATGGAGCGGCTCGTCGCCGCGGTCGTCCTTCGACCGCGCGAGCGCCGGGAGCCGCGCCAGCAGCGCCCGGGCGGCGTCGCCGGACCGGGCCTTGTGGAGGCAGACCTGGCCGTAGCCGTCCCTCCGCGCGACGTCTTCGACGACGTTCGTCACGCGCTCGATCTCCGGGACGTCGTCGCGCTCCAGGGCCGCGAGCAGCTCGCGGAAGCGCTCGATCTCCGCCGCCGTGGCCGTCGCGAGCAGCACCTCGAGCTCGCCCAGGGCCTCGCGGCGGAGGAACTTGAGCACGAGCGCTACGTCTTTCACGACGTCGTCGCGGTGCGCCTCCAGGTCCCGCAGGTCCACGGCGCCGAGCGCGTCCTTCTTCTTGAAGGCTTTCTCGAGGTCCTTCTTCCGCGACGCGCGCAGCGCCTCCGCGGAGCCGTCGTCGACGCGGCAGTGCACGCGGTAGAAGTGGCCGCCGCCGCCGGCGAGCCTCGCGTCGATGGCCGCGCGGAGCTCGGCCTCGCTGGCCACGAGCAGCGAGTCGACGGCGACGACGACCCAGCCCACCTTCAGGCCCTTCTTCTGGGCCGCGCAGCCCGGCTTCAGGTGCTTGATCTTCGTGCCGTTGAACGTGACGCCCTGGTCCGGCCGCGCCTTGGCGCCGCTCGCGACGGAGAAGCTGAACCCGAAGGTCGTCCGTTTCTGCTTCGTCGCGTTCACCGCCGAGCCCTGCGCGGCCATATGCGGCGTCTCCGGTCTGGGCCTTCTTCGCGTTGCGACGTCCTCGCGCGCCTGCTTCGCCTCGCTACATCGGGCTGCCCAATCTGCGCTCTGCCATCGTGCGCTGGGTGCAAGGTGGCGGCATTATTGGCCGAAACGTCAGACCGGCCGGTCGCGGCATGGGCTGTCGCTTCCCGCAATGGGCAGCCCTCGCCCTCTACATGGCAACCGCGGATGCCGTGGCCATGGTGGCCCTGTGCGTCACGGGCCTCGAGCGCACGTTCCCGCTGGTCGCGCCGAACATCGCGGCGACGCACGTCGACGCCGTGGGCCGCGACCACGTCGACGTCTTCGTCGTCCTCGACGAGCCGCACGGCGCCGGCTGGACGCACCACGCCACGGACCGCAAGTTCTACCCCGCGCTGCCCTACCCGGGCAACCTGAGCGTCGAGGAGGCGCTCGGCGACTTTTTGAGGCCCGTCTCGGTGTCGCGGTCGAGCTATACGCGCCGCCGGCGTGCGGCCTCGCGACGTCCGCGTACCCGGAGAACACGATCGGCGACAAGCCCGGCGCCATCAACCAGGCCGCCTACGCGAAGCGCAACGAGTGCTGGAACGCGGTCCAGGCGCGCGAGGTGTCCCGCGGCGAGAGGTACGCGTGGGTCATCTCCGCGCGGAGCGACGTTAGCTACGGCATGCGCCTGCCGCGCTACGAGGACTGGCCCGCCGCGCCGCCGGGTGCGCGCTTCGTCTGCAGCGAGCAGCTCGGCCACTGCGTGGGGCCCATGACGCTGAACGCGGGCCTCGAGGACCAGTGGGGCCTCGTGTCGCGCGGCGCGGCGCCCGTCTACTTCGAGGCCGTGCAGCGCATGCACGACCGCTGCCTCTACCGCGCCGTCGAGGCCGCGGGGCCCTGCGCCGTCGACCAGGCGGGCGTGCGGGGCGGCGGCCTCATGCAGGTCTGCAAGGGCAACAACGGGCCGTCCGCGTCGCGCCTCGCGATCCCGCTCATCGCCTACGGCGTCAACCTCTGCCAGCTGCCCATCATCCCCGTGGACAACAAGCACATCCAGCGGACCTGGGAGCTGCACCACGCCCACGACCCGCGGCCCCGGCTGTCGCTGATTGGGCTCAACGCGTCCCTGCCGCGGGCCGTCTACGACCTCGTCTCGCACCAGACGACGGCGGACGGCGCCCACCGGCAGGTGAACGTGCCGTCGCACCCGAGCCTCTTCGAGACCTACATGCGCGAGTTCGAGCGGGCCAACGGCACCCTGACCTACGACCTGAAGCTCGGCGTCCACGGCGACCCCATCGCCGAGTCGCACATGCACATGAACATCCGCGGCCGGTCGCGCGAGGACCGCGCGCGCTTCGACGACCAGGAGGCCGCGTGCGCGGCCGACGTGCGCCGCGTCATCGAGGAGACGGGCTGGCGCCTCGACTCGCGGCGGCGTAACGCGCGATAAGTCACCATGTCCGCGCGCTCGCGTAGGATCACCCGAACGTTTACTAGCGGAGCCAGCAGGGCGCGTCGACCGTTGGCGCGTGGTGGCCGAATTGGACGAACGTCGCCAGCCACGCGGCGCCGTCGCGGACACGCGTCGTGCGATGGCCGCGGGCCGTGCGCTGGTCCTCGCCCAGGTAGACGTCGCCGGGGCCCATGGTGATCGTCGTCCCGTCGTCCGTCGTGAAGTTCGCGTAGCCCGCGTTTGTGTAGACGAGCTGCGGCGCCGGGTTCCGGTGCCACGCCGTCGCGTCGCCGTGCCACGCCGACGTGAACACCTTCGTGACGTTCCCGAGCGCGGCGGCGCTCGCGTTCGTCGGGGGAAACAGCTGGTCGACGCCCTCCATGTCGACGCTCCCGTGCTCGTCGTCGTCGAAGTGCCACTCGCAGCGGGCCGTGCCCGTGCTGCCGTTGGCCATGGAGTAGTGGTGCCAATACCCGTAGGCCAGACCGTCGGACGACGGCCGAACGCCCTCCCCGCCGACGGCGACGACGAGGCTCCACAGCACGAGACCGAGGGACGACGGCCGAACGCTCTCCCCGCCGACCGCGACGACGAGGCTGCACAACACGAGCGCGAAGCTAGGTAGAGACGCTGCCATCGCGGACCGGACTCGCGCAGGAAGGCTTGGACTTCAAGTTGAAGTTAATAAACCCACTCGAATCACTGCTGCCTTCACTGATGGGATGCGCTACCTCGAAAAGCCCTTACTTCCTCGGCTTCTTCTTCTTGCGCGCGTAGGAGTCGGCCGCGGGCTTCTTCGGCGCGCTCTGGGACGGCTTCGGGTGGCGGAGCGCGAACTCCGCGGACTCCGTGTCGACCTGGAAGCGGTCGTCCGTGAACATGGCGCCGAAGCGGTCGTCGCCGAGGGGGTTCGCGGGCGTCGCGGCCGCCGCGGGCTCGCGCTTCTTCTTCGGCTTCCGCGTCTTCCGCGCGGGCGCGTCCTCCTCGTCGCCCGAGTCGTCGACGGCGCCGACCGCGCCCGCCGCCGCGTCGTCGTCGTCGTCGTCGTCGTCCTGGCCCAGGAGCCGCCGCGCGAGGTCCGCGTTGACCGCGGGCAGGTCCGCGGCGTCGGCCCGGCGGATGCGGCTCTCCTTCTTCGCGTCCATGGCTTTCGCGACCTTCTTGGCCTTGTACTCGTCGTACGCCGCGGGCGTCGACACGGCCTTGAGGCGCTTGTAGAGCTTCGCGTCGACGAAGTAGCCGTGGGCGTGGGCCCGGAGCTGGGGCGTGCCCACGAGGTCCGCCGCGCCGAGGTCCTCGAGCTCGCGCGCGGAGACGAATCGGAAGTCGTCGTAGGTGGCGCGGTCCGTCTCCTCGAGTTCTTCGGTTAACGAATCGAGGAACGCGCACCACTTGGGCGCGCGGCCGAGGGCCGGCACGTAGTAGGACATGATCTTCGACTGCTCGCCCGCGCAGAGCAGCAGGCCGCTGTCCGAGCCGTCGCCCGCCGGCGCGACGGCCAGGTGCGACAGCGGCGCGTTCGTCTCCACGTTGCACTCGATGGCGCCCGTGTCGCCGTCCCAGGCCTTGACGACGCGCGCGTCGGCGGAGAGGACGAGCTTCTTCGACGACTCCCGGGAGCTCCGGTGGAAGACGACGTCGACGACGGGGAGGCCGTACTGGTGGTCCTTCGTGACCAGGGGCTTCGACGACCGCACGTCGTAGGTCGACACGTAGGCGTCGTGCGTGCCGCAGGCGACGTGCATGCCCTCGAAGTCGAAGGCCAGCGCCGTGACGTCGTTGCCCACGTCGAGCGTCGCCACGGGTTTCCGGTCGCGCGCCGCCCTTAAATCGAAGAACCGGCACGCGCCGTCCTCGCAGCCGAACCCCACGAGCGGGACGCCGCCGTGCGCCGGCGCCGCGACGCAGGACGCCGGGCTGCCGAGATCCAGGTCCTCGTCGAACTTGCCCACGTCCAGGTCCATGCGGTGCACCTTGCCCTTGGCGGACGGGATCAGCAGCGAGCAGCGCGCGCCGTCGTAGAAGAGGCGCCGCCCGGCCGTGGGCACGCGCGTCTTGTAGTGCGTCCCGTAGGGCGCGTGGAAGTCGAGCGTGCGGTCCGCCAGCAGGAAGACCATCTTGCCGAGGTCGGGGCTCAGCGGTAAGGCGTCGACGCACTCGCAGCCCAAACGCCGCTCGTACTTCATGCCGAGCTGGGTGAGATCAAAAACCTTGACCGCCGGCGGGTACTCGCCCGTGGCCAGGATGTAGTTGCCGTCGCTGCTGAACTTGATCCGCTTCGACGTGCCCTCGCCGCCGCGCGTGCCGCCCTCGAACTCGAAGTCCTGCAGCAAATCGATGCGCCGCCCGAGGGCGCTGTCCTCCTTCAGCGCCTGCCGGCGCGCGCGGTCGCTCTTCACCCAGGCGGGCAGAGTGGCGCCATCGCTGAGGCAGTAGACCGCCGTCTGGGCGCCAACGCGCGTGAGAGCCATTGCCGAAGCTCGATCGCCGGCGGCAACGCGACTGCTCGACGTCGGCTCCTCGGGCTCGCCCATAATAGTGGGGGGTCCCCAAGTTTTGCGAAGCCCGCGCCGCAGGCGTGCCCTCGGGCAAATTTACGACTGTCCGTCGGGCGCTGGGCGAGGTTTCGCAACCTTGGGGCCCCCGGCAACGGCGCGGTGCTACCCTTCGTTCACGACAGTCCGCCTCCCGGGCCGTCCGTTGCCGTCGCCGCCGCGTCGTCCGTACACTGCGGCTCGCGGGAGATTTGCCCACCTCTAGTCCGCCATGCCCTTCGATCACCACGGTCCGTCTCGCCGTGCCGGGGGA